CAATTGGGACGAGCATTACGAGGCCTTTTCATTTGGGATATTACTTGTTGGTCTAATAGCGAAAAAGGTTTGTGGAGATGAAGAGATAGAACGAGAGAAAGCTCCTTTATGCAAGTGGGTCCAAAGTGAATTCCAAGCAAAATTGTTAATGCCAGGATATGACAAGTCCGAGTTTTCGCTTGTGCATGAAAGCCTGGAGCAAGATGATGATTTCTGTAAGAGTGATGGACTTGCACTCACTAAGCTGGCAATGCTTTGCATAGTCGAGGATCGATATAACCGGCCTACAATGAAACAAGTCGTCAAGGCATTATCGCGGCTTCAAATTGTTCAAAAACGTGTGCTTAGGCAAATGCCTCGTCACTTAATTAATCATTCATGATGCATGTTCGGCTTTTGAGAAAAAAGACTGAAATTGGACCAAACCTTGTTTTGTAAGTAGGGGTCGATATGGGAGTTGCGATTTTAGGAGTTCCAGTGAGTTTATAAAATTCTGATTTTGTTGAGTTGTTTAACACATTCGGCATACCTAGAAACATAAAAAATGTGCAATTTTACATTTGAGTCTAAAATTGTGATTTTGACAACACCGAACAAAATCAAATGAACAAAATCAAATGAAAGAATAAGATGAAAAGCAAGGCGATAAAGTAGACCATAAGATGACAACATTGAACAAAATCAAATTTGCAGGTTTCAGTAACTATCTTCTAATAATATGATATTATTTGATATTAGTAGAGATAATAGCTAAATTTTACGGAAAGTTACAATCAATTTTAGAGTAAATGGAAGATGTGGGAGGTTAATTATGATGAAGTAGAGACAGATGGTGAGTTTTGGAACAATCTTTGACCAAGTTTGCTATTGACAAAGATTTTATTCAAATCAGATAGTTATGACCATTTCTTTCCAACTATGTTGTTGGTGCTTACAAGCTATTCTTGCACATTCATCAGCAACAAATATAAAGATTCAACACATTCAAAGGAGGTTCATCCCTCTCAACACAAAATAATATAACAAGATGCCTTAGTGAAGTTCTCAATTGACTTTTAGGTTAGGAAACCAACTTTCAAACTTTTTTGTTTTAAGTTTTAATTATTTTATATGAGATCTATTTCTTTACTTTCATAAATCCTCTTCTAAATCAGTTATTCGATAAATTTTATTAACACATTTCAATTTTGTCATTGTAATCAAGTTTTAGTTTTGTAAATATATTTCATTATGCTTTATGCTATAACAATTGCAAATTAGATGACACTAGGGCCAAATGATTCTCCTTCTCCAATTCTCAGAGAGCATCAAATGAAGTTTAAGCGCGCTAGTCCAAGCGGCTCCCAAGACGAGCGACACCAGACAGGCCAAGAGGGAGATTAGAGTTGTAAGTCTCTGGTTCAGCCAGATTCTGTAGGCACAAACATTAGTCCTCCTTCAACTCTTGGGGGGTACCGTTTGCAAACTTGGTGTGCTGGTGAAAGTTCATCCCAAAACCAATAACGTAAGGTAGCTCGGAAAAAGGTCCTTTGGTGTAAGATTACTTGTAATATCCCAAACATTTTTCAAGATTTCTGGGATTAATGTAATTAAATGGGTAACAATCCAATTAATGTTGGTATAAATTACAGATTTAGGGATTTGTAAACATATTTAAAATTCAAATTAAAATATAAAATTAAATTGAAATTTATGCAGCGGATTAAATGGGTTTAAA